TTAGTATACTGGCTGGAATTAAATATTATTGGAAGCAGGCAGCAAGCAGCCAGGATCAAATATACCCCACATATTTTGACAGCCTGGTCTGCCACCTTCTGTGAATTGGTCAATGCTCACCATAATATGCTCAATGAAAATTATGCATTCTATTGAAAACATAACTATAAAGTAAGAGGAAATAAGGCAGGAAATAGCATAAGTGCATAAATGATACCCACCATGTAGCAGCGGTACCACTTTCACCAGCTGGGCTGGCAATAGCTCGCACGTATACATCTAAATACAGCCTATGCACTTATGGGGAACTGCAGTTTGAAACTGCAAAACTGAGGTACCCAATGGCATAGAAGCAACCGGTTTCCTAGCAAAATTGACTGTGTCCCATAATGGATGCTCGAACCGCGTGTATTCGGACACCAAGACGTATCTATCATATCATAGCTGTTGACATCAGGCCAATCTTATGCCTGATTGCAAATGAGCCTGATCTAGTAAATCCTCAACTAGATAAGATCATTTATAATCGAAATGCTAATGACATTCGGTATTAGCCGAATGATCCTCGATCCGTTAATGTATTCAAATGGAGACCAAATAACAAACTGACCTGCAACACGCCCCACCCAAGGCTATCCGACGCCCCACCACCCCACACTTGATCGACACGTCCTCAGGGCAATACAACACGGGGTACTCCGAAGTTTTGACTAGTAGGTATCGACACATACTATAAGTATACCAGAATCGGCATTAATACCAGATTTAGGATATTGTACCAAAAGTTGGCAGTGCTGTGCTAGCGGCATCTTTCGTTTGTTCGAAGGACGCGTGTAAATCGACTCATGAGTACATCTACACAGAACAGCTCCTCTGCTTAAATCCACTACGAAGTGGATTTACACAGAATGCCACTCCTGAGCAAATCGGTTCAGATCTGAGTTGATCTACACATAAACGCGCTGTTGTGTAAATCCACTTGTGAGATCTACACAAGCGTGGCTTCAGGAGTAAATCGACTCAGAACTGAGTGGATTTACACATAAGCGCCTCTCTGTGTATATATACTCCGGAGTGGATTTAAGCAGAGACGGTGTTCTGCGTAGATTCACTCATGACGTGATATACACAAGCGCCATCCTGTGTAATTCCACTCGCGAGTGGATTTAAGCAGAGAAGGTGTTCTGTGTAGATGCACTCAAGACGTGATATACACAGAAACGCCATTCTGTGTAATTCCGCTCGCCAGTGGATTTAAGCAGAGAAGGTGCTCTGTGTAGATGCACTCATGATGGATACACACCTGTGAATTACATCGTGATGTGATCTGCATAGGAAACAGAGTGCATTCAACGCAGCGAACTGGCTAACTGATCTATGACTTGCCGAATAAGGGAAAGATGTGATTTCAGCAGACAAACGCACAAAAGCTGAAAATATGCATTTGCCCATGCATAGTTCATTTTTGCATCACTGAAGCTAAACATCTGCCTACTTTATTGAGAACATACTGTCCAGAGATACGAATATATATATATATATATATATATATATATATATATATATATATATATATATATATATATATATATATATATATATATGTGTGTGTGTGTGTGTGTGTGTGTGTGTGTGTGTGTGTATACAGTATGCGTGCGTTTGTGCGTGAACGTGTGCATGTACCAGGCAAGGCAGGTGCCTAACATCATATTGCTTAAAAGGCATGCCATGCAGCATCGCATGCTAGTCACACGGTGGTTTGCGGTGTGCGGCTTTTATCCAGTCTTGGTAACGGATGAGGGGTGCGGAGGGCTTCCAAAGAGACTCCTTGATGGTGAAACGCCCCCCCCCCCCCGCCCCTCTCATACACACAAATTCGTCAGCTTTGGTCGGCGGATTTCCACCGGCATGATTTTGGGCGTGTTTTACGCATTTCTAACTTTCTTCACTGGGGCAAGAAGCCATGAAAGGTACTGGAAAGCAATTTGCCGTCTGTATCTTATAGCAGGTAATAATTAACAGAATGGAGGTGATGCTAGATGACATACAAAATAACGCACCGGTGTTATTCCTTTTAGATTGTTAAGCTGGTTCTATCCAAAGGGATAGACCTCAGAGCTTTGCCAAGTTTTTATTCTGAGCTCTGCAGAGATATTCATGATCCCGTGCACGTTGAGTGTAGATGGAAATGGCGTCAACAATTTTTTCACCTTGGCTAACCCATGTTCGTCTGGGGACGTTAGACGTTCTGTCAGAATTTATTAGTGATGCAACTTATGTAACAGTGTTTAGGATACGCACTTCAAGTCTTAGAAGCCTGACCCAATGCTGTGGTTACATCTCCTCATGCAGTAATGCATCCTCGCCCAGAGTTTCTATACAGCAAGTGTATCCTCGATTTCAGAGGTCAAGTTAGGTTACTTCCGGTTAACCTAGGGCCTTGTAATTAACATCTGTAATAGTACCGAATATTCAAAACGCAATGGCAAGAAATGCCCGACCCTAGCCCTTAAATTTTCGAATAAGACTATCTGAAGTCACCTTTGGAAAAGCAGACTTAATATAAGTAGCGTTCCCCTGGGCTGGAAAATCGCAATGATTGAACGTTGGATAACGCGGTACGTAACATGGAGAAATGCATGGAAGACTTCGCTAAGTCCTCACTCAAAAAGACAAAAATTGGAACCGAAATCGGCAAACCCAAACGTGGGTTGTACCTACGTTCATGCCTATGCAACCTACATTCTGAATACAGTTCGATACCTTAACTGAACCTAGTACTGTAAGGTAACCAAACTGAAGCTACCCAACTGATTTACACGCGGTACCAATATGGGTGTGTTTGGCATCCAGACCGGTCTTTCGTCTGTGAATTTGAGGTCGCTCAACTTGGGGCTAACTTAAAACCAGGAACTTCGCTTTTGCGTAACGCTATGGGAAACGTTTTTCAGGTTTAGGACACTTGCAGACGTCTGTGTCGAAAGAACCTCAGTCAAAGACAAACATTGGCGGTACCTAATGAGGGTACCACCAATAATGAAATGCGGTAGATATTCTCTTCGCTCTTCTATTTTCTTCCTTCGGCTCTTCATTTATGTCTTCCGTGAAATCGCTGTCATTTTCGTACGCATATCAACATTGCCTGTTTTGTCGCACGAAACAGTTGTGTGCATGCGGCTGTCGTCCAAACCTCGGTACCCATGCTCTTTTAGCTACATCACAGTACGCGTGCAGATCTTGTCACTCAGCCGAAGACGTCCTGGACGATACCGTTGAGTGAGCTGTACTCGGATTGGGGTTAAGCTCATCGTGGCCGTCACTTTCGTTAACTTCAGCCGTGCCTTTATTTATATCGACCACGGCGTCGTTCTGATAAAGCTGCAGTGATATTGTATTGATCCGAAGTGGGCTGGGAGCTACCTTGCTGGTCGAAGGTAGACGGTGAGAGGCAGAATCTTTCTCTTCTGTCGATTCACGGTGTCCCTCAATGGATCCTTGGTTGATCCTATCCTCTTTAGTGTCTTTAAAAATGAATCTCTGAATTATCGATCACACCCAACTGCTAGACTCTACTCATCCAGACCCACCATCCGTTTCGAAGTCACGACAGGAGGAAACCATTCAAGTGATTAATCCCTATTTCACATCTAACTCCCTTAAAATGAAGCCAACCAAAAGAGCTCTTCTTCCCGGTACTTCACAATCCTGAAATGAAACCCTATCTTTTCACCTGGACAGTGCGCGGCACCAATTAGGCCCTTCGTCGCCCACTGCTGAGGGGGGGGGGGGGGGGATCTTATTGCAGGTACCTTTTCTTGGGAGATGCTCACATCCTATGTTAAAATGCGCGGCCCTATCCTTTTCCGCCTGCATAAAATCCGCCACAACCAACAATATTGGCTGTTTGTGATGAATCACAATGAACAAATTCCACCACAATCAACACCACAATCAACAAATTCGTCGCCCGAGGTTCGTAAATCTATCATCCAATCCCATGCTCTCATCTTCTGTACTGCCTCTCGGTCTGGGGTGTGGCCGCGGCGCGTCACCTAAATAGAGTGCAAGGGTGATTAACCGTGGGGCCAAGATCGTCACCGATGCTCTTCAGCAAGATCCAATGGCGGCGACTGTTCAAGCGCTGGGCTGGCGCGGTGACCTAGTCATCCCCCGTGGCAGCCTCGCTGTGTTCAGGGCCCGTAATGACTCGTGGGTTCCTTTGGAGATCCGGTTCCTGTTCACCACACGCACAGATTTACGCCAGCGTGTCACCCGCGCGGCAGCGATGGGCGTCCTGGGTCCGCCAACCCTCACCTATCGACAGCACGCGGGTCTTTTCGTATTTGCGCGACCTTATCCCGCCACCGCCGATCACCACAACCTCTTATACCTACAATGTGCTTTGCGCCAGTCTGGGCGATGTAGACTGCCCTGTTGTGTAATCACTGCTTGTTTGCTGCTCCGTAACATATTCTGGCGGCTCAAATTCTGATACATAATTTATTGTTTGCCAAGTTGTGAGAACGGATGGACGATTGATAACGTGCAAATCTAGTCGCGTTATTTTAATATTGCACATGTAATTTAATATTGCACACAAATAGCACACGTTATTTTAATATTGCACCCACGCTAATGTTGTAATTGTACCGAGTACAACCCAGCTGTCGTAATAATTTGTGATTAAAATGAGCGTGAACATGACCCAGCCACGCATCCACAATGAGAGGCGTCACTGGAGCTGCCAGTGGTCTTACGCATACCGATGAAACTCACTAGACGTTTGCTGGACTTCATCAGACGTATTTGTGGATACGTGGGATTTTCACAGCGCGCAATAGTCACTTCAGCAGAGTTGGTCTGCTTTAAATATATTTAAGTATTGAGGTCAGTGAACTCTCCGGGATACCCACAGCCTTGGAGGGTACACGACATACAGTTCTGGGCAGGCAGCCGTACGAGCTTACCACAGATGCATACCATGAAAAGTAGCAACCATGTCAACAGCGCAGGTCTATTACCGCATTGGTGCGGCCAGGCATGCCTCGCTATGTCAGGAAGACTTTCTCATACGCCAATAAATCCCGTACACTAGCAAAGGCACACCCTGAGTGCTGACATGCATGAAAACCCACCACTAGGCACAGTCGTCAACGTTCTTCTTGACTAGATTGAAAGCGTGTGAGCACAACCAGTGTCAAAAAACATCATCAATAATAACCATGGCTGAAAAGTGCTGAGCACACTAAGCAATTGTTTAATAGTGGCACGACACCTTGAATAAGTAGCCAAAGCAATGCTCTCAAATTGGTATTTTTAAAAGCACATTCGCCCTAGGGGTCACTGGTTAAACTAGCACAAAACAAAATTGTACATACATTTGTACATACATTGTCTTCTTCACATGGGGCAAATGTATATTTACAGTAATATCGCCCGCTCTCACAGGCCGACCAAACAGTAAGTCAGGTGTTTCCGTGAGTATTTGCCCAATACCTCGGTAATAACAACAATAGCAATAATATAACCTCCCAGGAGACCTAACACGTCGCGCCCCCGCCACGTGCCACCACCCATGGCCAACTCTCTCGCGTAACTGTCACTTGCCTGGCGCGTAGGCGCCGTAAACAACTGCCATACACCACAATTACCCAGTCAGTTCTCGCATATGTAGAAATGTTGACTGTGAACGCATCAAAGACATTTGACGAGGCTTCTTAGTTCACGTCAGCCACTTAGTCCAGGTACATGACATATCTAAGCTCGCTCAACGTTCTCCTCGATCAGCGAGGAGATATTGCAAGCACATCCAGGGGCGCAACAAGTTGGACGTAAGCAGCCATTGCCTGGTGAGCGGTGCTACTTTACAACGCTTATCCAGTTTGGAACCAATCAACACAGTTAGTCGGAAATGCTTCCAGACTTTCAGAGTCTCTGGATGGGCTTGCAATACTCATATATGTACATGAAGGTGTGTCTTGGCAAACTAGCTATTCGCATCATGACATGCAAACGAATATAGATATCGGGCATGTTCTCTACAAAATAACAAGCCCAAGAGCTCTACAGGTACCCGGGAAAAGTCAAGGCATTTCCTATGAACGAAGTTATGTCCAATTCATGGAACGCCGTGATCACGCGGTGCATGATGATGACGGGTCTAAAGCCGAGTACGTGGATGGTGTAATCCAGCGCTTCCACCATCCACCACTGCTGTTCAGTACTCTGAAGAAGAAAATAATAAGTTAATAAAAACACACATAAAGACATGGTACCAACTGAGCAGAAACATTATGAACTAGTTTTACGTCGTCCTATGTGTTATTGATCGATACACGTTAGTCATGACCGGAAACGCAACGCATATGAGCGTGTCATATTTGCCCACTCACTTCTGTTCGAGATGTGGTTTTACTAACAATTGCCAATGGAAGGTCATATCAATTCACAAGCAAACTTACCTTATTTCTTTGCTGATCCCACGACTGTGCTGACGCTGGCTTTAGCACGACCGCGGTTTTTCGTCAGCCGCGGAGGCATCATAAGATGGTGCAGAGGAGAGCCTACATCTCACCGGGTCAACTGAGGAGCACCACTGGTAGATGGGCCTGCAAAAGGAGCATGCCCGACGGTCAGATCATCACGGGTACCAGGTCAGATCATCAGGAGTACCAGGTCAACTATCAGGCATTTGGCATCAGATCTGGTACCCACCTCCTGGTGGCCTGACCTGGTAATTCTGACCGCAGTAGTCTGATCTGGTGACCCCACACACTGATGGTCTGATCATCAGGAGCACCAGGTCAGACCACCAGGCACAAGGCACCATGCCAAACAAGCAGGGGGCTTGGGTACCAGGTCAGACCAGCTGGCAGTAGCAGTGCCAGGCCAGACCATCAGTGATGGGGGTACCCTATCAGGTGGCAGGAATACCAGCCCAAATCACTAAGCATGGGGACATCAGGTGAGACCATCAGGAGCAGAGGTATCAAGTCCTTCTACCATGTGACACAAGTACCAAGTCAGATCACCATGAGACAGCAGTACTATTCTACCAGGAGCACTGGTATCAATTCACACTATCAGGCGGTGGTACCAGGTAGGGCCACCAGGAGAAAGTAGTACCAGGTCAGACCATTGGGAGCAGGAGTGCCAGGTCTGGCCACCAGGGGCCAGAGTACCAGGAGGAAGGAGTATCTCACCAGACTCTCAAGGGCAGTAATATCAGGTCAGGAGCCCCTGACCTGGAACTGCTGCCACCTCATGCATCAAAGGGGCCTCTTGAATAGAGTACCTGCTAACCCAGTACAAGGCTTCCTAGCTTGTAACACAGCCTCCCAAGCCAGCAAAGGGCTAACCATAACACAACACTGGGCCTTCTGATCTAGAACACCAGGGGCCAGGATGCCAGATAGCAGGAGTACTACATCAGACTATCAGGGGCAGACCATCAGTGCTACATGAAAAAGTTATCACGGCTGTACACCACATACAATGTACATATATATATATATATATATATATATATATATATATATATATATATATATGATACCAACCCTGCTTTTAAATAAGTTTACATACATGCAGACAGTACATGAACAGTTCAACAACAACCAAGCATGTTTATTATTTGCATTCTAGCCTTAGTGGGTCCTGAAATACATTTGACGAAGCTCACCTTTCCAGTAACATTTTGTCTTACCGCACTAGATCCAAATTTGCTTTTAAAGCATAGCTGCTGTTTGTCCAAAGTTTGTAAAATTGATAAATAGCTGTTTTCGGTCAGTTGTGTTTTGTTACAATTGTGTACCCTGCTCACAAGGTATCTGCTTGTCAATGCTTAAGTTTGAAAAAAAAAACTTGATCAATCCCAGCTGTTACTTTACAGCTTTCATGCAATTTTGTTGGGAGCATTAGTATTTGTCAGATCTTTTCTGGAATTAATACCACCTGAGGTAAAGTCATTTCCAACATTTAAACAAAATCCATAGATTTTGATTTGAACACCTACCTAGTCTTGCTTTCAGTGAGGATAGGCCAATTCCTTTTCAAACCAGAAGGCAGGCATTCAAAGAATCAGCTGAAGATTACTGTTTATCCTATCTATAGCCACTGCAACATTCAATCAGCTCATAAAAGCTGCTCCCCTTTATAACAAAGGGTATGAGTACAAAGTATGTGCTGCCTTTAATGAATTACCTAAAATACAAAGTAGAAACAAGTGAGGGAAAATCCATCCAGCCCACTGATGCTGACAGAGGGGGTGGCACCATGGATTTTCAGTTTGGGGGAGGATTTTCAAGGAGCCTCCTCAGCAAAATGGGGCTGCCTCACAGAGGGCCTCCTGAGCAATGTTGTCTTGAAAGGAAGGAAAGGGAAAGGAAAATTGCATGCATATGCTCTGTTACCAAATTGTTATAAGCATTATGTTCAGGTAAATAGATGCTGACAATTTAAAACACTGGACCTTCTAATTTTGCAGCAAAGGGCATTGGTACCATACAACATGACCTCCTGGCACATGCAAGGGCTTTGTCACCAAGAACAGCATACTTTCAATCCACAAATGGGGTCTTCAAAGTTAAAGGAAGTCCTGCTTTGGAACTGCTGCCATCTACCTGCCTGCCGGCAAAGAGGGGGTGGGGGAGGCGGGGACAGCCCCTATGCCACTGCTGCGTCGTCCCTGGTTGAAACCACCCTGATTTTGACCTACGCCTCGTCTCTGGCAACGCGTACCTTTTTAAAGAAATTACTTCATTTGATTTGTGACTCCATTTGGTACGCACATACCTTCATGCACGCACAATAAGCACATACCTTCAACCCTCGTGGCCGGCGCACCTCACCCACCCACACCCACCCCTCAACACGCCCATGTTATATGGCCTTGAACACGCCCGGCATTCAAAACCGCGGGTTGGCGCGGACCAAGGCTACCTAACGAGGTAGAACCGTCCAGTCCGAAAAAGTGGCAACGTCGAGCTTGCGTGAGAAGAGATAATTTGGAGGCAAAGCCTACATGACGTCAAGTATACCATATTTGATGACGTCAGCGGCACGGAGTCCTCTCAGTTAGCCAGCTGACTGCTACACAACACATTAGTTTGAATAGTGGGTATGTTTTGGTGGCGTGCGCCTGGCGGTTCCCCTTGGGCTGAAAAGAAATCATCCGTCATTTCGCTATTCGCACACATTTCTGGAATGAAGTGAGTCCTGGAACAGTTTAGCCTATCAGAATGTACGATTTTTGCATGTATGGTATAACACGGGGTTATATGTCATGCAGCGTTTGTGGCGTATTGCATTCCATGACCAGGCTTGTCGTTATATAGCCTTGGGCTTGTCCAAGGCTGGTTTGTCGTTAGATAGCGTTAGGCTTGTCCGTGCCTTTTGTGCCTGGTGGCAGAATTGAACAGCTCAACTTGCATAATTTGTTCTGTCTATAGGTATGATTATATGAACATTTGCAATATTGATTTGTAATAGCTTCCACTCTTCTTATCACAGTGATGTGAGTACAGTAAGGTAAGTACAGTAAAACGCTATGATATTGGCCTTGTAATGCTACAGTCAAGTGTTTTTTACTTAAGGGTTGTACACATATGCATAATAAAATATTCAAACCAAGCATTTTACATGCTTCCAATCGTTCAAGACAAACTGCACGGGAGATCACGGCGTAGTCATGGCAACTAATCGTAACCCTGACATGAAGCGCCAAGCAGCTGCGATACGCGATGCGCTACAAACGCCGCATGACGTTTAACCCCTAGTTATGTACACCACGGAAGAATATACAATTCTGATGAGGTTAAACTGTTCCAAGATTCAATCACCCTTCCAGAATTGTGTTTGCATGACAAAACCACGGACCATTCATTCAGAGTCCAACCGGGAAGCGCCAGCCGCACGCCCCCAAAACGTATTCGCCATTCAACCCAATGGGTTGTGTAGCAGTCAGCTGACTAACTGAGGCTTCCGTGCCACTGACGTCATCAAATATGGTATACTTGACGTCATGCAGGCTTTGCTTCCAAACTACCTCTATTCTCACGCAAGCCCGGTGTTGCCACTTTTTGAGTGTTGAACGATACGGATGGCACCCCCTGGCGCGGACACCGGTCGCAAACGCAAGCGAGCGCGCATGCACAAACGTGACGTCATAAATCTGACTTGATTTACACAGTAGTGCAGTTATGTGTAAATCGACTCGGATCCGACGTGATCAGCACTGGGGGGCCGTTTTCAGTATATCGACTCATGAGTCGATATACACGCTCCCTTGATCGTGTAATGACACGATGGTCGGGGTATACATTCCTACCTCATGTTACAAAAGAGCATTGTACATCAATCATTGTTTTTAAGGCAGAACATATCATAATTAATCGTAAAACAGGTCATCTATACTCTAACCTTGGAACTTAACTAACTACGATACCGAACATCCCACCGCTGCAAACACACAGCAGCCGCGGCCCCGGCGCCATTGCCGCGCGCGGTCACAACATTACTGCGCATCAACCAGCATCAAGTACCATAAAAATGTACGGGGCCAAGGTAATAAGAATCCATGAAATTTGATCCTCTGGACCAAGGCTGCATGTGTTTCACATACTGATGCACGTTCTAAATCTGTATAAGCTGCCCATTTCACTTCGGCTGCTTAGGTGTACCTTTCCTACTCTGAGATCAGTGGATGAAAGTTAAAGTTATGAATTACAAGGCTTGATGAGGAATAGAAAAATTATGTCATATTGAAGTTCCAAATATTTATTATGCAGGTTTTGTAATGTGAAAGCAAGCTTTTTCAGGTTCATTTATTCAGCGTCAATAACAGTGTCACGAGCTGAATCAGATTCAGATCAGTCAGGTAGACAGATGGGTTCTAGAGGTATATATATATATATATATATATATATATATATATATATATATATATATATATATTTCCAAGAACGGGAATGTATATATATATATATATATATATATATATATATATTATAATGTATATGAATATATATATATTTCCAAGTTTCCAAGAACGGGAATGAGGAAACAGCCGCCAAGACCTGTTCACAATGCCATCCTCCGAACCTATGGCACCGGCCAATACGAAACCTTCACAATTTGATGCCGCTTGCTCGATAGCTTGTCCTTTTCAGGACATGGTGATCCTGGGATACGTCAAAGGTCGCCAAAAATTCCAAAAAGTGGAAAAATTGACCTGACAGCATCACTGTCTCTAAGCGTATGTAACAGATCAATACAAAACTTCCACTTATTGATCCCCCATTGTTGGAATCCTCTCCTTTTGTAAACATGGTGGCAGTTGGTCCGGTCAAACGTCATCAAAAAACGTTCGATATCTCCAATATTGTCTGCAGACAATATGCTCTGAGCTCCGAACGTATGCTCGGAGCTCCCATGCTCCGAGCGTATGCGACCGATCGGCACGAAGCCTGTAGCAATCGATGCGCCGTGGTCGATAGCCATTCGGTCCAGAAGGTAATGTCCTTGTGTCAGGTCAGAGGTCACCATAAGTGCCCCAACTTGTAAAAAGTTTGTTTGCGGGTAAGTTTCACCGATGGTCTATACTTTCCAGAAGATGGTGACCTTGGGTCAGAGCAGAGGCCGGAAAAATGCGCAAAACCCAAATCAAAGTTTGTAGGCAACTGCATGCTCCGAGCCTGTGAGACTGGTAGGCACGAAACATCTCACAGAAATATTTACCATTCGCTGCCGCTTGGTGGATAATCTGGCGAGGTCCATATTCATCCGGCCACGACCTCCGCACAAACTCTGACGCTCTCCAGCTATCATCTGCACAGTAGCTGCACCACTGCGACCATCTGTCTCAAAAATGCACTTCATCCACACAATAGCACCTCAATTTGAAATCTCCAAGTTTGGACTACCGGCTTTCAAACAGCCGTAGGGTCGGTTTTGCCTTTGTTAACGCAGATGAGAGGTCCTTGGTCAGATTATCCTTTCAGTCTAAATTGGTAGCACCTTCGGCCACCCATGACAACGGTACTTTTTTGAGGGGATGAATAGCCAACGGACCAGATGCCAATGTTTATGTCCTGGTGCGGATGTCGAGCTAGTGACAATGGCGATGACCTTTGACCATTGAATCGCATATCAATTTCACTGTTGTGCGTTAATATCGTTCTGGTTTCTTTTGTCACGTGTGTTCACCCAAGGTCAAGCTAGGTCGAATTGTGATTTTTGTGAACAGATTTGCTTTTTGAGGGTGTTCTTTTGCGGCATTTAATAGTGTTAAAGCTATGAAAGTTTCCTAATATCGCTGGGTGAGTCAATGCAGCAACAGCCTTGCCCACTTTGATCTGGCATGCCATATCGCATGGGTACCGATAGTGTAGAGCTGCGCGTCTATGACACCAGAGCTACGGGGTTAGATTCTTCGCGGTGCCCACTCTTCCTGCCAGGATGGGAGGCAGGCGATGCCACGTAGCCTCAGCATCTGAGTGCGCTGTAAAGCCAAGTGACGAAAACGACGTCACAGGGCACACCAGGCGATGTTCACTATTTTTTCTCCTCTGGCAAAGCTTTCCGGACCCATATGACGTCATCCTCTCCATTGTCTTAGTAATTTAAGTTCTTTACATAAGAGATGCAGCTAGGCGTTCTAATTAAATGCATATGACCTGATTGATCTGTCCAATATTACGTTCACCCATATTCAATCACACCAATTTAATGCAGCTTGGCTAGAGCTTTCCGATGTCGTGTCTGCCGTGGCCATAGCCTGCTAGTTTCCAACACCTTTCGGGAAGGCCCCGAGACCCCATCATTAGGCGAAGGTGAAAAACTCCCATAAGGCCGAGCCTGTCATGGGCGGGTCTGTCCTGTCCTGCCCTGTCCTGTCCTGTCCTGTTCTGTTTTGTCTTGAACAGAACATATGTGTGCGCTGGCCAAGGCGGGCGGGTTTTGTGTTTATCCGTTGTCTGTTTTTCATTTTGGCCGTCTTGTCCTCTGTCCCCGCTTTCGGCCGTCTGTACTCAATCCTTTGATTTTTGCCCCCACCCCCGCCCAAGTCTTCTGTCCTACCGTGCCATCTGTCATGCACTACCGTGTGCTCTGCTGTTTCGTTTGTCCCATCCTGTCCCTTTGCTTCCGGTATCTAGCTTTTGCGCCAGGAGAACGTCCTGACTATGTATCTGACGTCAAAGCATGCATCACGGTGGCCTTTACCTACAATCGATTTTTCAGCGTTGTTACTAACATGATGAGTGAAAGGAACGCTCCATTAAGTTGCGTTTCAACTAAGAAAAAATGTCACATGGTCTGAAACGTATACTAGGAAAGAGTGCAGTCATACCAGGTGGTCCGTTCGAAATTAATGTCCGGAATACGGAGCCCCTAACGTTCTGGCGCCAACAGTACGCTGTGTCTATTATATCTAAGAATCAAATCGTGTAATTAAACAATTCAAACAGTGGTTATCCCGTGCAACTGCACCCGGGTATTGATGTGGCATATATGACATGCCTGACAATGTTACAAGCAGTGCAGATTACTTTAGAAATCATTGAAATCTTCAGTGACCTCAGATTAACTGAAACCAGTATTTTCAAACCAATATCAGAGCAAGTACACCAGCAATATTGACCGTAGACCTGCGTAACTAGGTGAAACGAACGAACGTATCCTTCTCTGCTAGGATCATACCATAAAATTAGAATTTTGTCATGTTTTGTGTATACTTTTTCAGCACTGAATTTTGAAGTCATGTCAGTTCAGGCTAAGGTCATAGCAGCTCAGGCTAATGTCAGGTCATGTGTCAAATCAGTCATGTCAGGTCAGGTCGGTTCATCTAATGCAATTGTTCCGCTTCTCCGGTCACGTGT